CTAAAGCACCGACATAGTCTGTTTCGAGAAGATGGATGCGCGCGACCAGATCTGAATGGCTCCGCAAAGGGGATGTATCCTTTGACTCATCTTCAGCAGGAAGCATGGCAGCTTTTAGCTCCTCGACTTCCTTAGACAGACGTTCGTTGTCGGCCTCCAAGCATTCCCTATCCAGTCGAAGACAATCCCTCTCCTCAGCAACCTTCCCCGAGTTCTCCTTCTCCGTCGCCAGCAGGTCGGCTTGTTCGTGGAATATTTCCTCAGATCGCTCGAGAGCAGCCTTCAACTTACGAGAGCCGGCAGTGAGGGCAGCTTTCTCTGACTTCAGCTCCCTGACGCGATCCGAGGAGTCAGACCCCTCCTCAGCAAGGACAACGGCCATCTCGCCCATCTTCACCATCCCGACCATACTGGCGGCCAGGTGTTTTCTCCGGCTTTCTTTGTTGAGCCGCCTGATGGTCTCGGCTTCCTCGTTGCTCACTGTCAGGGGAAACCCCTCGAAGAAATCTCCCTCTTTAAAACAAGGGGGTAAGCCGAAGGCCCTCGCGGCGACAAACTCGTCGCCAACTTCCGACTGGTTATCTGCCCGACTCCTCTTTCTCGTAATCAGCTCGGCAGGCTGCTCGGCGTCAGGGGAGCCCGAGGACCCGCTAGAAGCATCGCCCGAGCTGGTCGTCGGGCCCATCCTCGTGGCCTGTGGAGCTCGCACCAGCCTTCTGTTCACTTTCTTGTCCTGAGTCAGTTTTAAAAGCCTCTCCCTTCATTCAGCCATGTCGCCTGCAAAGAAGAGGAAAACTCGGGTTAGCTGCGAGCCAGTAAAAAACAACGAAAATAGAATAAAACTACAAGACAAAAGTAACCTAATAGATTTACGGCCTGCCCGTAAGATTGGCACTCGATGAGCGCCTTTGTGTCGATGGGACGGGCCTCGAACGTCAGGTACCCGTCCTCGTCAAGAATGTCTTCCCCATCCCTCGTGACCCACCGGGCAGGGAAAAAACTGTCGACATATTTGCAAAGGATACCATAGGCTTCTTCATCCTCGGCGCATATACTTCCGGCAGGCGTGTGGTAGTACCCGGTACCATGGTCGTAATGACCCGAGCACCAATGTAACAGGAACTTGGATACACGCCCCACTGCCGGTCGACCTTCGGCATCCATGAGGGGCTCCTCGTGCTCGTCGGCTACCGCAGTTTCCTCTTCATACATAGAATCCAAAGCAGTCTGAGTGACCGGCTGCAGAACGTACCACTTGTCCTTGAAGCCCCAGACTGAATCCATGTACATCCTGAACAGCTTCTTCGACTGTTTCAGGGAAACCCAACTATGCCTGCCTCCCCGAGACTGACGCTGCAGGTGAAAAACTCTGAAGAAAAGGGGAATGGTCGCCCCGATCCTCAAGAAGCGGCATGTCAGCTCGAATGCCCGAAGGAAGGCAATCGAATTAGGATGGAGTTGGGAAGGGGCCAAGTTCAGATGGCAGAACACCTCGGCTTGGAAATCACTGAAAGGAAGCGTGAGACCGAGATCCCTAAACACGATCTCGTACATTGGAAACCCATACTCGATGAACTCCGAGCAGATACGTGCATCGAGGGACGACCTCGTCACAATAAAATTCTTCTGGAAACCCGGCTGACTATCGCCGTGTTCGACGACAGTGTATGCGTGCCGACTACGCCGATAATACGCCGAGGCAATCCCTTGGGGCTTGGCGCCCACCCAATCCAACGAAGGATCATCGACGATATCAACTAGAGTCACGTTCTCTTCGGCACTTTGGTCCTCGACCTCATTACGCCTCGAAGACTCCGGTTCGTCAGCCATTTACCTGCAAAGCATAGGAAATCGGTGAATTTTGAGAGCAAATCCACATGCTCGCCACAGTGATGGGGAGTAGCGCACGACAAGCCAGACACGCTCGACCAGACGTCAGGAACAACAAGAGGATATCATGAACACCCCGCGCGATAAACATTGATGACTCGAACAAGATCTTGGTTTCGCCTCCCTGACGCTAAGATGCCACGACAAGTTGTCCCACATACTTCCTAAGGGGTCAACGTCCCGGCCAGCTCATGGGTGCGCTGACCTAAACTATGAATGTGACGGGCAATATCATGAATCCTATGCCTAGAACTATGGGTTTACCGGGCAATATCATGAATTATGCGCCTAAAACCATGAAGGTCACGAGCAGCATTGCGAGTCATCTACCTAAAGCTATGAGTTTACCGGGAACAAACATGAATATACCGGGCACTACTCCCAGATGTGGGTTTCTAACATCCAAATAACGATTAAAACTACCTACAACAAAGAAAACAAGAGAAATGAGCACTTACTTGGAAGAAAAGAAGAATGGATGGCAGAAATGAAAGTAGTCAACGGAGGGAGGTGCGGTAATCTTGCGATGCTGTAGAAAAACAACGACGGCGGAAACAGAGGAAGGAGGAGAAGTGCGAAGAAGAAAAACAAATTATGGGACCCAAGGATCCTATTTATAGGGATGACGTGGAATACGAAACGTCGCCCCGAGGAGTCACGAACTTCCCTTCCTCGACATCTACACCCCTAGGCAATGATGTCCCTACTGTCACTAGGGTGGCGTCACGGTTCCCAAGGATTGTCTCGTGTACCCAACAAACACAGCCCGCGAGGAATTCCCCGAGCACGCGTCGACGAGCGTTACGCTACGAACGTAGCCCGAGAGAAACTCCTCGAGCACGCATGAGAAAGCAATATTCTGGTCCGGGCATCAGACCCCGTGGTAAAGGAATCAAGTCGTAACTCCTGCTCCAGGAGCAACGACTTGGGGGGCTCCTGTTCTGGACTGGGCCCGCCCTGGCCCAAAGCAGGGATAAAGGCCCAATCCAAGCAGGTCCTCGAGGAGTGTGCGCCCGCGGATTCCCACCACCGTGTCCGACCACAGACTACAGTCATGCCCTCCATTGCCCGCGTCATATGGTATCCCCGACCAAAGAACCCCAGCTCGAGTCCTGCTCGAGCTCTCTCCTCGTAGGGCAGATTCTGTCCACCCTAACCGTTATCGAATCATCCAAACTCCGGAAAGACCGCGTCTTCGTCCCTCCTTATTCTTCGCAGAGCATCACCAAGAAGGGGACCACGTGCGGGGCCCCACTACACACGTAGAACTTGGCAGTTCCTTTATTGGGTCAGTTCTGGTCGGTCCAGTGAGGGGACTTTGGCCCAGCGCTGGGGGCTATAAATACCCTATGTTCCTAGAGGATCAAGTATTCATCTCTTACGCATACATACACTCTTTACCTGCTCATTCCGTCACTCATTTTAGCATCAGAGTGCCTTGCAGGTACCCCCCCCCCATCTGACTCAAATTCTGTCCGAGTCAGTCGTAACAGTCCAAGTCTGATCAGGTAAGATCATTTAGTAATGTATCTTTTCATTTCTTTAATTATTGGAACTCAAATGGCCTAATCATCAGGTGCAAAAATGATTCCGTACCATCATGCAGCAGCAAAAACAGACAGTGTGAAATGGAGGAGTGTTTTAGTGTGTGGTGGAGGAGTGCACTATATCATCATCTAATTCAATGGCCCATTATCAATTTGAAAAAAAAAAGAGGTCGTGCACGGTAGAAGACCTATAGTGGTTGCGCAACGTAGCCTACGCCACATTACTACGAATGTCATTTATAAAAAATTAAATTAAATTAAATTATAAAAAATTAAAAATTAAATTAAATTTGAGGAATGTTTTTTTATTTTATTTTTATAATTGAAAGGTAAATTTGTACTTGTAGAAATAACCAACACTTATCTATTTTCTATTTTTTTCTTATATAAAATAATACTTCAAATATATTTTATTTCTCATCTATTTTTTTCTTATATCTTTTTCTCAATTTGTTCTTTACTCTTGCCCAACTATCAACTTAACATACTCTTTCGCAACCAAACACTAAAAAAAGTCCATTACTTTTAACCAACTGATTTCACTTTTCTTCTTTCCACCCAATTTTCTATCTATAGCTTCATGTTTTTTTGTTGCAGGGAAGCATCTATCAAGCTCAACCTTGAAGGTGCAAAAAGGTCTCAACATCTCAAACAGGTTCCTATCCTTCATTCAAATTGTTTAATTACGGTATTTAACCACTAACACCAACGGAATTGCTTATTAATTTGTGTTATTTACAAGAGAATCTACCATGGAACCAACTTGTGCTGCTTGTGCCATGGAATGGAGCATCCAACTTGAGAAGGGTCTTCGTTCTTGTAAACCAGGTAAAAGCCATTTCTGTCATATGTTGTATTGTTTGTGTTCATTTCTCATACCTTTCAACAACCAAGGACTAAAACTGTTGGTCTAAGGCGTGTACTCTGTCTAACATGTGTATGACACATGTCAAACACCTCATTCGGTCTTCAATTGAAAGTTTTTTTAATCCTGATACGGCTTCAACAATAATGTGACACTCTTTTGATGGGAAGAAGCACCTTTTTGAATGATGTACTGTGCATTTTTTTATAGGTTTGTTACAGTAGTTTGTTATTCTGAATATTTAATTTTTTTTCCGATTGGTTGGATTTTGCTTCTAATTTCAATTATGTGAGTTATCTAATTTCACCATTTTTTATCTTTTATAGATTGCAATCATATATTAAAGGGCGTGTTGTGTGTGTATGTGGTGCATTGCATGTTTTTGTCTTGTATCCATGTTTCGTGTTTGGTTCTTCATCGAGTCTCATTCATCAGGTGTACCGGTCAAAGCCATATTGCAAATGGGGCCCCATCTTCAGCGTTGGAGTAGAGAGCTTGAATCTGGTATTGTTCCCAATGGCATGTTTGACCTTGTGCCAGGTGAAGATGAACTATTTGCTAATGCTATCCTCTTACGCCTTGCTGATGCCTTTAGGGGAGGCAACACAGAAATCAAGCTTTCTGTTGTCAGAGTTTTCTTGATCGAGCGAAAGCACCATGATAATAGGAAGCACAAGCAGTGTAAAGGGTTGCTGTCAATGGCCAGAGTAGCTAACCATTTGGAGTTGTTGAAGCGGGTAAAATCTGTTTTCAACGATGGAGATTCAGAGTCCAAGACACTGGCTCTAGTTCTGTTTGGTTGCTGGGCTGATTTTGCCAATGACAATGCTCAGATACGATACTTGATTCTTTCCAGCCTTGTTTCTCCTCATGATTGTGAGGTACGAATAGTGTCTTGTAGTTTTGCTGTTGTTCTAGATGCCTATGTCTAAATAATTCTTTATAACATCTCCCATTATTATTATGTCACTTTAAATAGCCTGTCGTATGTTTTATCTTTCTATTTTAAAAATTAAGCAACTGAGAAACTACAATTTTAATGAGGTCCGGGGTTATATTGGAGTGGGTTAAAGATATTATTGGATATTGTATTGTTGTATTTTTCATTATATACACAAGGAGGTTGAATCTGTTGAAGTATTCTAATTTTCTTTTCTTAACTTATTCCCTGTAAAGCCAAACTTCTTTGCACTCGCCATGTTTTGATTGATCATCTGCATCAATGTATATAATATATTGATTGTATTGGGTTTTCACAGGTAAGAGCGTCATTGTTTGCTTCCGGTTGCTTTTGTGAGATATCCAATGATTTTGCATGTATTACATTGGAGATGCTGTTTAACATTATGAATTCACCTGCAGCATCCTTACCTATAAAGTTGGCTGTAGCTCGAATTTTTGCAAAATTCAAATGCTCATATTCAGTTGCAAAAAAAGCATATAAGGTTGTTGCCTAGTTTTTTTCTTGGAACTATCACTTATTTCTGTTTTCTTATTTCTTAGGTGATGACTTATTTGATGCAGATAGGTCTGGAGCTGATATCAAATTCTTCAAATGAAGATATTCTTGTTATCATGCTATTCTCACTTTCAAAGTTGGCATCCATTTCTACACTTCTTACCTCCAATCATGTACGTGCATCTTTTATTATACTACGATTTAGTCTTCATATTTGCAATTATATCATAACTAATCACGAGTTTGTTGAAATAGTAATCTCTGATTTTCTCATTGCACTGAAGTCCACATGCTTTTTGTGATTAATAAGTTTCCAATTGCTTGGATGCAGGTGGAGTTCCTTGTTTCATTCCTAGAACGACAATTAACTTCGCATGTAAGAGAAACAGTTTTAAGATGCATATATTTTTTATTCAGAAACAATCCATCTCTAAAGCTTTACAGCAATACGTCCTTTGAAGTCCCAGATGGACAATACATGGAACTCTCTCCATCTGAATATGAAGCTTGGAAAGGTGATTGGACAGATGATGAAATGCTTGAACTAAATAAATTGTTTTCTCATTCAGAAGTCCTTAACTGTATAGTATAAATTACTAACACACTTAGTATTGTTGGTGTAAATTTTTTTTTTAAAGTTAAAATTTCATCTTCTCTAGCATATTTTGAAGTGCAGGCTGTGTTTAGCCATGAAAGAAATGAAAATTTACCTAACATTAGTTTTTGTAAGTCTTATCTATTTTAAGTTGAATGTTTGCCTGAGTAGATGTGGTTTTTCTAATTTTAGATTTAATTAATATATTGTTTTCATAGATGTTTTGTCTTCCCGTATTTTTCTGTTTTTTAAATATATTTATCTAGATTACTATTGCTGTCTCTTAGGTTGATGGTGCCATTATAATTGAGATTCCTGGAAGTATCAATCTTGTTTAGTTTTCTTTCTTTTATGATCTCAATGTTTCAGTTGGTTTAAAAAAACATTTGAAATAGACCAACTTGACTCCTCAGTCTAACAAACACTTATTGCCCTTAACGTTTTGGAGAATTTTTAATTACTCAACAAAACGTTAAATACACTTCATCGTATTTAATAAATGATTAATTAAATATAAGAAAAGAAATTTACATTAAGTAATTGATTGTTAGATATTATATCATACCTTTTGCGGTGGATAGGCAAGAGCACTTGAATTAGATGCGAATGCAATTTTACCCGCAAAAAATACTGAACTTTGACAAGCAATAAAATATTAAATAGTATTAATTTTTATATATTATTCAATTAATAATGTTAATAAAGGAGTTCTTGGTAAAAATATCATGGTAGAGAAAATCGGATTAGATTGACCAATTTAATGACATTAAACAAAATTGGAATATAATTAAAAAATCGGTCAAAATTGGATAAAATCAATGGTTTGAACAAATTACTAGTTGAGTGTGTTTGGCTTAAAAACCAAAAAAGAAGATGACAAAATTTTGATATAATTCTTTAGGTGTGATCATTACTATTTTCTAATGAAAATTTGACAAATATACTTAAATAATAAAAATATGAGCAACTTACATGTATATAAGAGGAAATTATATATTTATTATATTTTCATTATAAAATAGTAAGACCACACTTAAATAATTATATCTAAATTTGATTCCAAAAAAAATAAATAAATCCTCTTCATTTTCTTCTCCTTGTTTTATTCGTTTAATGACACTTGATTGAAAAGTTGAAAAGGAAAATGATGCTTAGAAGAAATAGAGTGGGCCCCACATATTTGAGAAGTAAGAAGAGATTTTGTTGTTGTTTTGGATTGGCCCGATAACTAAAGTGGGTTTAGCCTAACCTCTTCCTTTGATACGGCTCGTACGACTGTGGTCCGGGTTTCTCCGCCCATCGTCGGGCACCATCATTCGTTTGTCCTCCTGGATCAGCACTGACCTACGACATATGGCGAGCGTCTCTCAGTCTGCCCGACCTCAAGTCGGCCAGACAACCAAGAACTGACCAGACTGCTGCGCGTAACTTACCTCCTTCTCGGAACCAACGGCTAGTTACGAGCACACATACCTGGTTTGACCAAGTCTTGGCAGTTATCTATTTTTGTGGACCCCGCATATCTAGGCCCAAAAATAGGAATCAATGACCAAGCGACAGGGGCACTATATAAACCCTCACACATGTGAGGGCCAGGTATCGAATATTCACTATTCACCACTAAAACCCTAATATTCTGCTTGTATCTCTTTGCTCTCACACTTACTTGATCGTCGGAATGCCTTGCAGGTACAACCCCATTCCTTCCTCCTTGACTTTCCAGCCTGACAGAAGATTATCATTTGGCTACCTTGCATTATCTGATCAACTGGTAAGATCAGTGGCGCCATCTGTGGGAACAATCTTCCCCGTTTTCTATTCCTCGGAATCTGAAGACCAAAGATCCTCCTCATTCAACAATCATGGCTGGCCGTGATGATCACCCATCTAGAAAGACTGCACTTTCCCCAATGCATAAGACCGACGGAAGTCAAGAAAATCCTCACCTCGAGGACAACAACAACTTTCGCGACGGCCAGACTGCGTCCCCAGATTCAGTTGATGCCCAGCGCGACGACCATCAGTTCTTGGACGTGCAACGTCCTAAGAACCCCACCGAGGAACTGCCAAAGTCTCTGCAACCGGTTCCCATTCCTCATAATGCCGACTCGGCCATTGCAACATTGCTCTCTACCATCAACCAGACTAACACCCTTATCCTGCAGTAGAACAAGAAGATATGCGCCTGGGAGAAGAAGCAGTCAAAATCTCATCCTCAGAGACACCGACAACATGATTCCCCCAGTATATCTCCACCTAGACGTGGCTGTCCACCAAGAAGGGAGAAGCATGACATTTCTTTCTTCAAGAAACGCAACCGCACACCTCCCATGAAGGACCAAAACTCTCCATCCTCCAAAAAGAAGAAGAGCAACCGCCAAGTTGACTGTGGTCGATCACCATCTCCCAAACCAAGACAACACCGAAGGAGTCCTTCTCCCCGACGAGACAACGATGCCTGACCGGGAAGGAACTATCACTCCCCGCCTTCATCCTCTGAAGAAAGCGACGATGATGAGCCCCGCGGCCTGTTATCAAGAGAGATTACAGAGACCTAACTCCCAATCGGCCAGGAAAAGCCACCCCCGCCGGGAACTTATGATGGTACGACTGATCTTGATGAACACATAGAGAATATCGACGCCCTCCTCGACTACCGAGGGGTCCGGGGCGCCATCAAGTGCAGACTATTCCCAACCATATTGAGGAAATGAGCAATGTCTTGGTACAAAAGCCTCTCATACGAGTCTATTACCTCCTAGAAACAGTCAGGAAGGATGTTCTCGAGGCACTTCACTGCCTCCCGTCGACATCCAAAATCAGAGGCTTCACTTGAAGCGATTATCCAAGGCAGAGATGAGTTTCTGCAAGCATATATCTAGTGCTTCAACAAAGAAGCAGTCCAGGTCTCCACGACGGACACCATGAAGAAATACCTTCTTGAACGTGGGCTCCGTCCCCGTAGCGACTTTTCAAAAGTGGTGGGCATCGAATCAACAACCACACTCGACTCCCTCCTCCTCAAGGGTCAAGTCTACATTCAATACGAGGAGAAATAATTTTCCAACATTGCCAGGGAGTCACGACACAAGGTTGACTTGGATTGTGTTTCTGCGAGTGGGAGTCATATCCTACAAAACAGAATAAAGATGAATCTCAAAATCCTTGAAATGGTTAGTTTAAAATGCTATGGCTTGATGTCATGATGTTATGTACAAGCATATGCACAAGTTGAATCAAACAAATCCTTAGGTTTAGGCTTGCATGAGGTTTCATAGGTAAGTACCCTCTTGAAGTTTAGTTGGCTCAACCTGTCCTAGTAATAGTAACCAGGTTCTAATGGATCTCAATATCACTGATTTATCTTCTCGGGCATTGTTTCAGCGCAAGCCTCTTTCACGACGACCGAAATATCCCAAAAAGCCAAACCTCAATGAGTGTAGTATCGAGTATCTACTAACTTCGGACTGCACCAAAGCCGGTCATCTCACTACGTCCTAATGGCCAAGTTGGTCAAGTAAAGGTTCTAAAAGTCAGTTAGTGCTTCATGACATCACTCAGCGGCCCCATATTCTCCTTGACTACTCAAGGGCTACCGGTACCCACAAATATGTCACACTAACGTAGCTATTTCTTAGACCATGTCGGTATACCCCGCACAGTTTCCACAATGTATTTCTACTTACCTATAAGGTATCCCAAATACGGGTAGAGGATTCAAGCCCAAATAAAGAACCAAAATGTAAAGCATACAAGTCAAACAAAGAAAGCAAGTAAAGGTGATCTAGCCCTAAGGTAACCCCACTTTTTATAATTCCCCAACAGAGTCGCCAGTTCTGTAATACGGTGGGAGAACTGACTTGGGTGTTTTGTGTTTTGTCTCAAATGTTGCGGATAGCAAGAGTCGCCACCGACTTTTCTTTTATCCAATAAGGAAAGGCTGAAAAGAACAAGAAATACCTTTAGAGATGTTTTCTTGAGTTCGGGGGGTAGATTATGAAAAGGGAAGGTATTAGCACCCTTTTCATCCGTAGTTATCTACGGGCTCTTAGTTGCTTGCTTGATCACTTGATTTTGTTTGAAAGTATGCTTGTGATGTGGATTTTGAAAGTATTTTGAAAATGTCTTTGTAATGGTCCTCGTTTCTATAAGAACGCGTACACAGTGTTGTTTTGAAAATAGTTCAAAGAGGTGTTTGTGAAATGTGTTTTTGAAAGTGATTTTGAAAATGTATCTTCTTTGTAATGGCTCTCGTTTCTATAAGAACGCGTACAAAGAGTTTTATCTTTTGAAAATATTTTGAATGAAAGTGTTGGTGTATAAAATGTTTTTGTTGTGGGCAAGTGAGCAACTAGGAGCGAATCTACCTACTCAAAAGATCTTAGATGTTCTTCTCGTCCTCCTTTAGACGTTGCTATCTTATCATTGATTTGGATAATAAATCCCATCGTTGGATGTGAAGGGACAGACGCGGGTCAATCGTACGGTCATAGAAGGCAACTTATGAGACGCTTTAGCAATTTTTCGTAAGGGACTAGATCGTTTTACCGAAGGCAACATCGAGGGACATCAAGGGACTGCGATCTTTTTATCGAAGAGTCTTTGCTAAGGTGTCCCATATTCAAGGGGCATGACCGTGTTTCCGAGGCAACAAGTGAGGTTACCCTAGAGGTGCGCGTGTGAAAAGTGTGTTCGATTCAAGTTAATTTGTCTTTGATTAGGGTTATCTAACGGTTGTTTTTATCTTGTCATACACACCCAATCTTACTAGTAATTATATGGAAAGCGGTAAACTTGCGGAAATTAAAATCCTACGCTATTACACCATTAGGGAGATGGGGATACAATTTGCAAATGGGGATGAAACAAGTGTCTAATTATTACAACCATATCGAATGAGTGGACAGTAATGGAGTATATATGTATATAATACAGAAACAGTGTAAAAAAGAGAGAAAATTAGCATTTTGAACTATTATGTGTCGACACATGCTATT